TATATATATATATATATATATATATATATATATATCTTTATAGAAAATATTTTGGATAGAACAATTTCAAAGCTCAAATCAAATAGTGCTTGTCATATTGCAGGACATGTTAACTATAGATATTTCCTGAGCTCCTAAAAAGGAAATATCCAACAGTGAGAAGGAGACATGGCAACAACTCTTGGATATGGAAGAACTTACCTAATGGAAAGGTGACATTTTCCAATTTCAATTAAATAGCTTTACTAGATCCAAAGGCATTTTTGATGAGACTTGGACAAAATTAAAACATTACTATGAAAGGTCACAGGTAGATAATCGATTTGAGTTTGTAGTGTAAGGTTGATGGTTAAGAGCTACATTATTTAGGATCTCCATGGAGAAGAATGAAGAAAGGCTAGACCCTTCAACTGACTTTTGAGGGTTCCAGTTGAAGTACTTTATTGTGGAAATTTTCCTTAGAGTTGATGAAAAATACTGTTCTTTTAAAATGAACATGAAAGGGAAACATTTTTATTTTAGAAAAAATAAGATTGACACAGTTAAATAATATATATTCAAAGAAATTTTGTGAAAATTCTAGGACAATGGAAATGTCTCATTAAGAAGTTATTTTTAAGATAACTTTTTATTAATAAAATAAATGAATCATGTAGATAGCTGATGACTTTTAAATGCACTTGGTAGGTAGAGTACTCTAAAGAGAAACAATTAATTCAGAAACACAGGTATAGAGGAGGAATACCTTGTCACAAAAAAATACACACAACTCCCAAACTGGGTGCTATTTTTGGACCTAAAAGCTATGCCTGAAGATGTGATAAGGGAAAAGTAAGTAATAGCTGGTGGTTGTAGGGGCAAAGACTTAAGGAAAAGAACTGAGCATCAGAGTGATCTTGAGAGAAAAATCTTAGATTTAAAGTAAGTCCAAATCATGTGACATCCATCAATACTAACACATAAAACGAAACATAAAATTTTGAAGTAGCAATAGAGGAGGTAAATATTTGAGCCATTTTTTTTGCCTAGTTTACTTGTCCTCCTGCTTATAGTAAAAAATAAAGACCCCAAATAAGTTTCTTGGAAGAACAGTTAATGTTATTCATTGGTCTTATCAGTTTTAGAAAAACTGCTTCCTGCCAGGCGTAATGGTGCATGCCTTAAATCCCAGCACTCTGGAGGAAGAGGCAGGCGGATCTCTGTGAGTTCAAGGCCAGCCTGGTCTACACAGGGAGTTCCAGGACAGCTGGGGCTACAGGGAGACCCTGTCTCAAAAAGACCAAAAAAAAAAAAAAAAATTGCTTCTTTGAGGACCTTTTTCTTAAAAGTTACCTTTGCTTGCCTCTTTCCTCTTGACTTCTTTTGGAATGTACTTCCATTCTTGTGGAATGCTCTGAAGCAGATGACAAGGAACACTGGGCTTGTTTTGGTTTGCATCGTCCTTTCTCCCCAAGCTTATCACAGATATTGTCTGCTTCACAGTGTCCTTGACAGCGTCCATAAGTGCCAGTCTCAGACATCGGATGACTTCTGGCTGGGACTCCATGCGCGTTGAGACTTTAAAATCAAATAGCATGTCATAGTTAGGAGACCCTGGTAGTCAGATGTGCCTGGTTCATCTGGAGTGCTGTTTCACAATTACCTAGTTTAAAGCTATATGAAAGGAGAGCCAATTTTAATCAAGAAATCATATAACAGAGACTCAGCTCATAAAGTATTTGGAAAAAGTTTCCCTGCCTGGCAATAAAGGAATGTCAATTAAAGTAATTATAAATAGCAGAACTGACTACTGGTTTTGGACTCTGGTGGTAAAATATTAATTGCATGACCTTCTCATAGGACAGCTTGTCAATAACACCAAAAGCTTAAGATGGAGATGAAGTGGTAGAATGAATGGCTAACAGTGTAAGGACCCGGACTTCCTCACCAGACCTGAAAACAAACCCAAAAAGCTCCAACATTTTACCTAACGATTGGCTCACCTATTCTTTTCTGTAGGAATAAATTCTAAGAAATGAATTAAGAATGCATTGGGGCTGGAGAGATGGCTCAGCAGTTAAGAACACTGGCTGTTCTAGTAGAAGACCTGGGTTCGAATCCCAGCACCCACATGGCAGTTAACAACTGTCCATAACTCCAGTTCCAGGGGATCTGACAGCCTCTTCTGTCCTCCAGGGGCATTGCATGACATGGGTACACTTACTTACATGCAGGTATAACACTCATACACGTAAAATAAAAATAATAAATATTTTTAAAAATGTATAAAGTAGAGCCAGACATGGTGACATATGCCTTTGATCCTCTTAGGCAGAGGAAGTGGGGCAGGGGGAACCTTGTGAGATCAAGGCCAGCCTGGTCTACATAGTGAGTTCCAGGCCAGCTGTGGCTACAGGGAGACCCTGTTTCAAAACAAAACAAAACACAGAGAAACAAAACAAAAAGCAGAAAAGAAAACAAAACAAAAACTGAATATATAAAGTACATAAAGATGAGAAGCCATCTAAATGTCTAATTAGCTCTCACATATTTGTCTGTATAATAAAGTAAAAGACTATGAAGCTAAAAAAGTAAAAGCAGATTAGAAAAGGGCAAAAATATTTATTTAAAAAAACCTATTTATACATGTATAAAATATTTAAAAGATATGCTGCCTAATGTTAATGGTGGTAATCAATGACAGCCTCTGTAATGTTAATGGTGGTAATCAATGACGAATGAGGTTTTACGTACTGTTTTCTTTCCTTTCTCTTCTTTCTTTCCTCCTTTCCCCTTCTATCCTGTCTTTCTGTCACCTTCCTAATTATATGTAACTACCCACAATGAGCATATATAGGGTTTACATGATAAATATAATCAAATGATTTGTTTCTTTGTTTTTAATATGAATAGAAAATATAAAGACCATTACTAAAATTAAAAAAAAAATGCACTTTTTCCCACCCGGAGTTCCTAAGAAGTCTTTCTCAAATAACTCATTCAAGTAATAATGCCTCTTTGTTAAACTACCAGGGTAAAGAAGATCTTGGTGATAGCAAATTGAATGTTTAATTTTAGGGCTGGAGAGATGGCTCAGTGGTTAAAAACATTGGTTGTTTTTGCAGAAGACCTGGGTTTGAATCCCAGCACCACATGGCAGCTCACAAATGTCTGTTAACTCCAGTCCCAGGGGATTCAACAGCTTCTTCTGTCCTCCACGGGCATTGCACAACACAGGTGCACTTACCTACATGCAGGCAATACATGCATACACATTTAAAAAAAATGTCTGAATGTTTACTTTTACCATAGTGTTACTACCAGTGAGGCCAGCTGTTGTTCCTTACGGGAAAAAGTGGAGAATAAAATTATATAGATTCTTTGATGTCTCAAAATGCAAATTCATTGAAGGGCATAGAAAAGCTTTCTTCTCATAGCAATAACTAATATCCATTTTAACTAAACTCTAGAGCGATGGGTAAACAGGTCTTACTTCTCTGAAAGTTCTAGGAAATCAGGAATGACTCTCTTGTTTAAAAGGTATGTTTATTCCTTTTAAAATAAAATTGCTATATATTGAAAATGACAGAGAAAATAATTCTCTAATAACCATTGAAAATAAATGAATTTATGTAAAGTATTTGGAACAGTAACTGACCAGAGCATGGTGAGCACTGTACAAATATTAGCTAACCTTATTAATACCTAAGAGGGGTTTTAAAAAATTACAGTATAGCTGGATATGGTGGCACAGGCCTTTAATCCCAGTACTGGGGAGGCAGAGATAGGCTGATTTTTGTGAGATCAAGGCCAGCCTGGTCTACATAGGGAGTTCTAGGCCAGCCAGGGCTCTGGGATATCTTGTCTTACAAAAACTAAAACAAAACAAAATACAATATTACAGTTTCAGAATTGTCAATATTCGTTATGAAGACTATGAAGCCTTGAGACACCTTGAGCCCTAAGTCCTATATCCAGTATTAGGCAATATCCATCTAGGCCTATGACAGGGATGGGGTAGACAAAGCAGCAAGAAAAGGAGAAATGGCAAGGGAATGAAGAACAAAAGTACATATGGCCATGCAGTGCAGTGATAGTCTTGATAGTCTTCATGAGTCAAATGTTAGAATAGAAAGGTGGCCCATTCAGGAAAAGGGGATGCCACGCTCATACTCTAGCCTCTCCTTTCCTTGCTCAGATTCTTTTTTACCTCCAGCCATTCAGTCCCAGTTCTGGTAAATAGAAGCCAGACACTAGGCAAAGGCTCCTAGAAGCCTAACCTGGTTTGATTATATCTTCCTGCCAACACAAAAAACAGTTAAGTACATCAGTGGAACAAAAACCTATGAGTCAGTATTAAAAATTGTAACCAGAGCCAGGCATGGGGCTGCATGCCTTTAATTCTAGCACTTGGAATTCTAGCACTTGAGACAGATAGATTGTCATAAGGTTGAGACCAGCCTGGTCTACATAGAGAGTTCTAGGCCAGCCAAGGCTACAGAGATGGTCCTTGTCTCAATAAATGGGGGTTAGGTGATGGGGGGTGGCTCTTTGGGTAAAATTGCTTGCTGTCAAGCTTGACAGCATGAGTTCAGTCCCTGCAACCCACATGGCAGTAGAGAACTGACTTCTGAACTCTGTAAGCACACACACACACACACAACCTCACAAAATAAATAAAGAAAATGTTTTTTTAAATGTTAGAGTAGGTGTCTAGACTTCTAAGACTCATAGCTACTTGGTACAGAGAGAATACAGCAATAATCCCAAGATCAGCTCCTGTAGGCCCAGATATTAATTCTAATTTAGCAGCATAAAGGGAAAAAGCATGAAAAGTATCATCTGGTAACAATTTTAATTATTGGTTTTCTGTCATAATGCCAAATTTTCATATTAAATTCACAGAAACAAAAAGAAATTTTATAATATTTCAAGTAACCATTAAAAATATAAAATTTTATTTAATATAGTCGTAGCCTAGTGTGCACATCTGCAAAGCAGTGAGAGAAGAGGGCAAAAGGGCTGGGCACAAAGGTATTTATAGTCTCTCTTAGTTTTCACTTTCTATGATTCTATTTAAGACTCCTAAAAGGAAAATAACAAATATTTCACAGCCAACAGCATACAAAATCAATAAGAACTGTGACTCCACTACTTTATTTCAAAGCACAGTAATCAAGAGTCTCAGAGGCAGACTGAATAATGGTCTAAGCCAAAGTGAGCTTTAGGCCTACAGCAGCACTTCTAAGAGCGATTTAAACCACACAGCTTATGTATATTCATATTCTGGTAAGATATTTATCAATTTTTAATCAATATTATCCTTGAAAATTTGATTATTTCAGACTTGACTGAGTATACACCTAAAATATTTATTACTTTAAAATTTTTTACATTTCAAGACTAAGAACAAATTTAATTTACTAAGAGTTTTCCACGCTACCTTTAAGAAAGATATTGTATGTGATGAAGAACAGCCTGATTTGGCTTCATGAAACCAATGGAAATTGCATTTGAATGTGTTTCTGGGTAAAAAGCATTTATATAAACAATCATTCTGTGGAAGAAAAAGCTTTGCTAACTACACATCTGTCAGAAGATTCATATCTAGAACATATAAAGAACTCCAAAATCTAAATACCAAGAAATCAAACAACCCAGTCAATAAATGGGCAAATGAAATGAACTGACAGTTGTGAAAAGACGAAGAAATGGCCAATGAACATTTGAAAAAATGTTCATCATCACTAGCTATGGGAGGAATGCAAATTAAAACACAGTGAGATTTTACTGTATCCTAGTCAGTATAGCAGTTTCTAAGAAAACAAACAACAATGAATGCTGGCAAAGATACAGAGAAAAGGGAAGCTTCATACACTACTGGAGAGAAGGTAGGTTAGTCTGGCCACAATGGAATCAGAATGGAGGTTTCTCAAAGAACTAAAAATAGATCTGCCATCTAACTCAGAGATGTGCCATTCCTGGATATTTAACCAAAGGAGTACAAATCGGCATATCACAGAGATATTAGAATATTCACGTTTATTGCAGCACTATTCACAATCACTAAGTTATGGAACCAAACTCAGTACCAACCAACCAAGGATTAGATAAAGAAAATGTGGCATTTATACCCAATGGAATTTCACTCAGACATAAAGAAGAATGGAATTAGGTTATAAAATGGATGCAACTGAAGATGTTCATCGTAGGTGAATTAAGCCAGTCTAGAAAGTCAAATATCACATGTTTTCTCTCATTTGTGGATCTTAGATCTTACATGGATACAATCATGTATGTATACATGGCATGAAAGTAGAAGCTAAACTGTGGGGAGGGAGACCAACTGGATGGGGAGGAGAGAAGAAAGGGAAGACAAGGAATCAGAGGCTCGAGGTACATTATATGCTTGTATGCAAATGTCCCCATGGAACCCAGTACTACGTACGTACAATGAACATATGCTGCTGAAAAAGCATTCTGCTAACAAACTAAGAGGAGCCATTGAAAATTAGTTTTCCTTATATGCTTTAAGTAATTAGTGAGTCAAAAATAACAAACGTTATTGAAAATTGCCTCAAAATATATCATCATATTGCCTTGACTGAGAAAATTAAAGTTTTTCTGGGGTGTTTCAAAATTTTATATAAAAAATAGTATATTTAAATCTGGACAAGGAGATAAGGAAACTGATGAACCAGATAAGTGATGAACTATCCAGTGAGTAGCAAGGCAAGGATACAGTAAGCTTCTCCCCAGGAAGACGGGGATGAGAAAGGGGAGTGGGACGTGAATATAATCAAACTGCATAAAAAGCATGTATGAAAATACTACAATGAGGGGCTGGAGAGATGGCTCAGTGGTTAAGAGAACTGACTGCTCTTGCAAAGGACCTGGGTTTGATTCTCAGCACCCATATGGTGGCTAACAACTGTCCTTAACTAGGGGATCCAATACTTTCTTCTGACCTCTGTGGGCATTGCATGACGCTGGTGCACTTACACACATGCAGGCAATACACTTATACACAGGAAAAAAAAGAACCCAGCACAACAAAACTTGTTGTTTTGTGTAATTAATGTAGGTTAATAAAAAGAAATAAACTAATTCAGAGAAAAAGAAGAAAAAAATTGAAAAAGTAAGCTCTTTTATATGTTTGTCAAGACATGTTTCTGACAAAATAACTTATGTCCAGAAAATATAAAGAACTCTTTACAACTCTGTAAAACAACTAAATTAAACAAATTGACAAATGATTTGAACAAATATTTTCTAGTAGGATAATTTCAAATGTCTCCTAAGAACAGAAAAAGGTATTAGATGTGGTTAATAATGAGGGAACTATAAATAAAACTACATAATACTACATATCCCTTTGTATGGCCAAAATAAAGAAGTAATTTCAAATACTGGCATGGATATGAATGAAATTATTGTATATTTGTGGGAATGTGAAAAGCTATGTGTACTGTAAAGTAGTTCAGTAGCTTCTCATTTCTCATATTATTAAGCAGACACTCTATCATATAATCCAGCATTTCTACTTCTAAGTAGTTACCAAAGGTAAATGAAAACATATTCACATAAAGGCTTGAACACTAGTGTTCAGTCTAGCTTTATCCATTACAGCTCCAAACTGGAAATAACCCAGATATCCATGCAGGCTGATGAAACTGTCTAAAATGCTACCAGGTAAAATACCCAGTGAATATTTCTTAGCAATGAGGAAATATAAACTACTAAGAGATCATAATATAAGCAAAAGAATCTAGGTACAAAAGAATACATAGGCTTCTACTTGTGTAAGACTAGAATTATCGGCAGTGACCTTCATGACACAAAGCCTATCAGTATCTTCCTGAGTTTGTAACTGAAGAGAGAATTTTCTGTGAAAGGTGTGGAAGGTGTGAAAGGATTTTGAAGATGATGGAAATGTTCTATCTTTATCATGGTGGTTGCCACACACATGGTGATTTCTCCTTTTGTCAAAATCACTGAACTCTTAAAATGAGTGAATTTTACTGAACGGAAATAAAGTACTTGGGGCTGGGGAGATAGCTCAGTGGGAAAGAGCGCTTGCTGTGTCAGCATGAGGACCTATGTTCAGATCCCCTAGCAACCACACAAAAAGCTGGAGAGGGGCTGTGTGCCTGTAACTCCAGTACTGACAGAGGAGGTGCAGACAGCAGGGTCCCTGTGGCTTGCTAGCTGCCCATCTAGCCAAAACTCTAGGTTCATGAGGAACCTTATCTCAAGGGAAAAAGGAAAAGATTAATAGAGAAGGTCATCCTCTTCTGGCCTCCACACATGTGTAACATAGCATGTCTGCATAAAAGCATACACACATACACCAACACAGAACAAATCCAGTCTACCATTTCTGAAATACTGTAATTTATAACATATACACATACTGCTGATGCAGGTAGAAGAAAAAATGATTGTGTCAGATAGGAAGGCAAGCCACAACAAAAAGCCTTTAGAAACAAGAAAGAATTCAGCATATATATGTAGTCTGAAGAACTCTTCATAAAGGCCTTTGTGAGACAGAGCGATGAGAAGAGTACCAATGAAGAAGCTTTGGATCTCAGAGTTTAACTGGGAAACTCTGATAGGTCATTGAAAGCTTTCTTCCAACAGCAGTGAGAGTTAAGCAAAGTGATTCTGAAACAAAAGTAAGGTCAATTCCATATATTGAGTACACAAGTGGATAATACTTACTGGGTATATAAAGTTATTCATGACATTTTGACATTTTCCTCATTTATAAACCAGTTTTGGCATTGTCTCAAAGACTACTTGAAGTAATTTATGTTCTAATGACAGTTTCAGTTGTCCAGCTGAAGATTATTTATCTGTTTTGAAGACAGAGTCCTTCAATGATTGCCACCAAATCTATTTCTTAGAGAGGACTTTCAATTATCAACATTAGGTATCTACCTTATTTTTATAGACTTTTACAATCTGTTAAATGGGCATTGTTATTATATTTTCTTTCCCTAGCCAATATTTATTCTAAGGAATTATGTGTTCTATTTCTAATTAGAAAATATATTTCTATATTTAATGTTCATGAATATATGTTTTGTAAAAAAATGTCTTAAAAATTAATCTAATAGAAAAAAATAAAGAAAAATAGCATGGCCTATGAGTTAGGAGTTCTGATTTCTTACTTTGACTCTGTCCATGTCATTGAGCTAGCCCTAAAGTTGCCTCCCATCTTATCCAAGGCTTACACAGCAATCGGACAGGAATACTTGCTGCTTCATCTCTGTCCTTCCTGAGGCAACAAAGATGGTGATGTTTTATGGGTGAGATGTACCAAAATCTTTATGAGTGTATCAGAGGGAGGAAAATACAACACTGCATTTTGTTTTGTTTCAGTTAGTAGTTTTGATTCTGGTTTTGTTTTTTTGAGACAGAGCTCACTATGAAGCCCTGACTGACCAGAAACTCACTATGTAGACCAGGCTGGCCTCAAACTCACAGAGACTGGTCTGGTTTTGCCTCTGGGTTCAGACATTAAAGGAGTGTGCCACCATGTCCATCTCCACAGTGAAATCTTTAAATAATGTGCTAGTAGGTTGATGTGAGCAGGTAAATTATATTTACAGAAGCATGGATCTATGATTGGTTAAATGCAAACACAGTGAGATCATAATTGTGTCTTAGCTGTATTCTTATTTTAAATTTTTTTATTGTATGAGAATGTCATATATATGCAATGTACTCTGATCAATTCTCTCCCCCATTCTCTCCCCTCAAACTCCTCCCTTAACATCCATGCTTCTCCCTTTGAAGAGAGAAGCATTATGTTCCTAACAAAAAATGCCCTATGTATTTGGAGAAAATTGACTGACTGATCTATTTTTTACAAAGTATCACAAAATACTCTTCACATCTTACAAATACCTTATGTGGACAAAAGTTCCCAGAAAAAACCGGCATCTTCAACTGATCCTTCTGCAAGGCTGGTTAATTGGTTAGTACAAATGATTATGGAGAGTTTGGAATTTTGCAGGTCCAGAGCCCATTTATAAGTTACCTTGAGCTATCTTTAGCCCCCTAAATAGGTATTCCTTGCCAATCTCTGCATCTGACTTTAACATCCTGTGACTAACAGATAAAAATCTTTAGGAAGGTATTAACAAAACCAACAAAACTCTAGCTTCCACCAACCAAAAGGCTGAGTGTCATCAGACAGATCTGAGGCCCTGTAGCTGAAATTTCTCTTTTGCTATTGTTCCACTAATTTTTCTCCTTCCCATTCTCTGTTGGACCCGCCCTCTCTCTCTCAGGGTCTTGTGGTCCTGATTCGGGTAGACAAACCAACATAACATATTTTTATCTTGGATTTCGAGTGGTTTATATGATAGGGAGGGAGGACTTACAAAGAAATGGAGTCATTCCAGCCCCGCCCACAGTCTCTGTTAGTTTTCGCCTAGGCCGATGGGCTTATGGTCTCACTTCCAGGTGTGTGGAAGCCCCTTCTTGCTTTCAGGCCTGCAGGGTTCGGACACACACTACCCCATTTTTCCATTCCAATCTTGCAGCTGCTAGCTCTGCTGGGGGGTAGACTCCACCCTTCTTCCCAGGGGCTCTGCACTTGCCCATCACTCATGCTTTTCAGAGGAATGAGAGGTTTCTGGGCTACAGCTATAAACACCTAATTAATGTTTCCACCAATATATTTAAAAAGGATCAAGATTTATGACTTGTCTGTTACTATGAAAACTTTATGAAACTGCTTCTATGTGGGAACATGGAATTTGGGGTAACCTAAATCTGTGTTCCTGGGCCATGGTCACTCATATTTGGTTCCAGAATAAACTCTCTCTTAGCCCCCTTTGTGTTTTGTATCAACACTTACATGCTCAAAAACAAAACATAATCTATGATAAGCACAAACTTAAGTTTTATTATAGGACACATCCTAAATTTTAGAAAAGGAAAATCTGTATTATATAATTTTCCCTTCATCTAGCTCCACTTTATCCCAAGTATATCATATTTGACATTAGCTAACAGTTAATGGTTCTAAACAGCAGGCTTTATAATGAGAAGATGTATGGTAAACTTTTATAAACAACAGAGTCTGAAAAGCTATCATCAATAAAACATTTAAAACATAAATACAATTTAAGCATCTATAAAGCACTTCTTTTACAAATGGTAAATTTCTCATACCTGGAATGTTGTATAAATAGTCCCATAACTGTTCTTCTTCCATGTAGCACATGAAAACATTTCCAAATGTTTGTGGAGAAAAATTGCAATGGTATAAAACTTTAAAAATGGCTTCTATCACATTGCACCTTTCATTCCAGTTATTTTCTGTGCCAGACCCTTGTTCTTGAAAGAAGTGTTCTTGAAAAGAATAAAAATGAGTTAGAGATGTTGATATTAGTGACTGTGATTACAATTTTAACACTTCCCATAGCAGAATGCTATGAAATATTTGCTTAATATTTGCATGAGATAAAAACAACTCTCTTTCGGATCAATAGTCCATCCAACTTCATATTGTTTCTGAGGCATTCGTGGATAGGTATTATTAAAAAAAAAAACTCTGAGAAAGACCACAATGGCATCATTTCAAGGAGCAATGCAAGTTTCTCTCTATGCCACAATTCTTTCTTCTCTTAAAGAAAATATTTTTTCTATAGTTCTCATTTTAAAATTTTATTCATTCTAGAAACTGGGCTGGAGGCCAGCCTGGTCCATGTAGAGAGTTCTAGGCCAGCAAGGGCTATAGGGAGACCTTGTCTCAAAAAAAAAAAAAAAAAAGTGTTCTTGGAATTATGTAATCAATTTTGGAAAAAAAAAATGAACATTTCCTAAATGTATTGATAACATCATTTTGGAATGAAGCCTTTATTCACTTGTTTCCTCCATGAAACTATATAAGGAATTCCACAAAAATAGGGCCATTTTAATTGCTCTGTCATCCCTTCTCAGGCTCTATTATGGCTTCCTTTACAGACTAGATATCAGAGGTTCCTCTACTATTGCATCTATAGGATACATGGAAAGGAGAAATAATAATCTGTTTTGTTAGGATAATAGCAGCAGCAGAATAATCAAAACCATTTATTACATTTCAGTATCAATTTATGTTTGGATTCTTATTATTTTAAATACCTTGTTTGAATGTATTCTAGAGTCTGGGAATGAGGACATTTTCTTATTCTTGCTTGTTTGGAAGATTAACACTTTTATAATTATATTTCTGGGATTTGATTTGAATGATCTAGAGGAGCCCACTCTCATTCTCAAACTAAAAAATAGCACCACAGACTTTATGCAGATAGTACCTATGAGGTTTATTGCCTAATACCGTTCAAAGAAGTCAGTTTTCCTTTAGCTAGTCATCACTTTCTGTATCCACCTCTTTGCCTTCCACCCCCTCCCCACACACACATTCACTTGATATGGGTGAAGCTGACTCCATTACCTGGGGTGGGCATACAACCAAAGCTGGGCTGATCAGAGCCAGAGACTGCTCATCAGCCATGATCTGTTCACAGATGGGCAATCACCAGACCTCTCCTCAAGAGTCTTGCTGTAATAATTGGTAGAGCAGTATTCTTTCTACGCTAGTAGAATATATGTTGGAAATTTATTTTGGTGGCCATTTTGTGAAGAACTTGACTAGAAATGAATCTACTATAAAGAAGCAGAACCAGGAGACAGAGAGAGAATCCCCATTGAGATGAAACAGCTGAGGACTTGGGTCCAACACTGTCAGTAAATTTATGTTAGTTGGGCTGATAAATTTCTCTTTTGGGCTAAACCAGGCTAAGCCAGATTCTAACATTCATATTCTAAAGGGTATTCACTTTTCTATCAAGCACAAAATATCAAGTGGCAAAACTATCTAATTCAGGCTGCTATGACTTCATCTTTTTTTATCCAAATACCCTGCATTTCTCTTCAGCTGCCCTTCTCTCCAACTCCTAATAACTGGCTACCTTCATGCCACCCCACGTTTGAACCTTGAAGGAAGTTTACTCCACTACATAAAAACTACTTAGCCTGAAGAACCAGAACTACCACCACCTTTCTGAAACTTTCTAATCCTCAAACATCTGCTCAACTGAAAATGGTTCATTTGCTATTTCTTTTAAATGTGCCTTCCCATCTCCTTTTCATTTGTTAATCTAGAATGTTCTCCTCTAAAGGGTCACAAAATACTGTCTTCAGTGTACCACATGGCTATTTCAGTTATGATCTCACTGAAACTATGACTGCCTGCACTGGGCCTGTACAAGATTGGCCCGGTCAATAGTTAGTCATGGAGGTCAGGAGGATGTCATGGGGCCCTATCTTTCCCTACTTAACTATTGGCTACTGATGGATTCTGGGAATGTGCAATCATTGTCTTCAGCTGGGAACCCACTGGTGACCTCACTAGTTTCCAATGGATAGCTCCAAATACATGGTCACACAGATGGCCCTGGTTAAACTGAGTGGACTGAAAAAATGAAAAGGCATGAATATGGGAAAGGAACTTTAAGAGGAATGCAAATTGACAGGGATTGGAAGGGAAGGGAGTTGTGTGTGGGTGAGAGTTATCAGAATATACGTTATATACGTATACAGTTGCCAAAGAATAAATCAAATGAGAATGATTTTTTTTTTAAAATAAAAGAATGTTCTCCTCTTGTAAAATTACCATGATTTAATCAATTAATGGACTGGTAGCTTGCTATGTGCCAGTCACTGGGCCAGATTCAGGGACCTTCACCTGCCTGGCTTCACTGTGCCTATGTGTGCATATCTGTTGTACAATAGGCACATATGCAATCACTACAGCAAGGTAAACAAACAGAGTGACTGTAACCATCACTCCTGGCTCATGTCTGTTGTCCTGACATAGATACAAGAAGCATCCTCTTTCATTCTTAAAAGTATCCCAGTGGATGACAAATTATCACGTTACTTCTAAGAGTCTGAAATGTAAGGAGCTGTGGAAAACACAAAGAATGATGCTTTAGAGTTATTTCAGCACATAGACGTCACAGAAAAAAATGTTCTCTCAGCAAAGTGTGTAAGGAGTAGAAGTTTCTCAGCACGAGAAGAGAGATGGGAAGTACTTTCCAGAAAGACAGAGACAATACTTTTTCATTCTCCTTTCAGGATTCATGTTTCTGCCCAAGGCATCACTGTCACCTGCCCATCCACCTCCAGGCTCAGCTGCATCTATTACTTCTCTGACCTATTAGATATAAATGTTCTCCTCATTCCTTTCTCTATTTTGAATAAATTATTCATTTTCTTCCCAGTGTCTCTTTTATTTCTTTTTTGAATTTAAAAAATATATTATTTATTATTTTATGTGTATGAGTACATTGCCTGCATGTATGTGAGTGCAACTGTGTTGTGCAATGCCCACAGAGGTCGGAAGGTGTTGGATTTCATGGAACTGGAGTTAGTGATGGTTGTTCAAGACCTTCTGAATATTTCCACATCTCTGCCTCCCACTCCCCATAGGGAAGCACTGAGATGTCAGGTACTTGCGATGCTGACTGGCTTTTACATGAGTTCTGGGTATCTGAACTTGGGCTGTCAGGTTTGTGTAGCAATCACTTTTACTCAATGAACCATTTTTCCCAGCTGCAGAAATGCGTTCTTTTTATAATAAACTTTTGCTTACATTAGTTTTATTTTACTTGTATAAGTGTTATGCTTGCGTGTTTGTAAGTACTCCTGTGTCGTGCAGCGTCTGTGGGGGCCAGAAGAGGACATTGGATTCCCTGTAACTGGAGTTATAGATGGTTGTTAGCCACCATGTGGGTGCTGGGATTTGAAACTGGGTCCTCTGCAAGAGCAGCAAGTGCACTTAACTGCTGAGCCATCTCTCCAGTCCTCTTCTGTTTCTAAAACTATTAATATAATTTAGGTTTATTTAAACCTGTTGTTTTAATCAAAATGCTCATAACTCCCCTGACTTCCTTTTTTTTACAATATATTTTTCATTGAATTTTTGTGCATTTCATATAATACATCTTAATCATATTTTGAACCCCCCCCCATTTATAGCCCCCTTTAGCTTCTCCCCACTGGATTTCATGCATTCTGTAATATGTATTAAGGCCTACTGAGTCAAGTTTGTGTTGCCAGACTTCCCTTGGTATGGATGTGAGTTCATCCCCTGGAGCCTATTCAGCCTATTTAGTATCACTTCCTTAAAGAAGGCCAACTCTCCTTTTCTGCATAGTCAAAGCCTGCTACTGAATATTTACAATGGCATTAGCATTATAAGTATTTTACATACTTTTTCAATTGTCTTAATCCTATGTAGGGTATATAACATCTCCATTTACTTTTTAAAATTTTTTACAAAACTTTATTGTCCATTTACTTTTAAAAAATATTTTATTATTTTCATTTTATGTGTATGAGTGCATTGCCTGCATGTATGTGAGTGCACCCGTGTCATGCAATGCTGCAGAGGTCAGAAGAGGGCTTCCAATTCTGCTGGAACTGGAATCAAGGACAGTTCGTAGCCGCAATTGGGTGCTGGGAATCAAACCCAGGTCATCTGCAAGAGCAGTCAGTGTTCTTAACCCTTGAACCATATCTTCAGCTCCTCCATTTACTTTTTAACAAATGAAGAAACTGAAACATAAGGAGGCAGAATTTTATAAAGTAGAAAAATACTTTATGAATCATTAAGAAAATTACTACTGAGGCCAGCAAGGTATCTCCATGGGTAAATGTGCTTGTCACCAAGCCTGGCAACCCGAGTTTCATCCCTGACCCAAATCTATAGCTGGCAGTCCTAGGGAGTAAATTTTGTGCTCCCACTACATTCCCCTAGAAGCTCACAGTCTTTACATGTCTATATAATATGGAATTGAATTAAATCTATTTCAAAGGGAAGCTACGTCTCTAGGCAGATGCCATCTGTCCAGTCAGAATGTATTTAGATCTAGGAAGAGAAGTTAAACATGCCATGCTAGGACAATAGGCAAGTCTCTTTTCCAAATGACTAGATTTCAGAGAAGTAGTAAAGGTACTCTGGACTGGGGAGCTGCACAGTGCTTTAGAACACAGGTTGGCAATTATGGGCCTGGGGACAGATCCAGCTTACCATCTGTTTTTGTATGGTCCATAGCTAGAAGTGGGATTTTACATTTTTAAATAGTGGAAAGGAAAAAAAAAACCCAGTAGAATATGTTTTGTGATAAGCAAGAATAATATGCCACTCCAATTTCAGCATCCATAAATAAAGTCTCCTTGGAACACAGTCATGCTTATTCACTTTTGTAGTGTCTGTGGCTGTTTTCATGCTACGGTGGCAGGGCTCTCCTGAGGCTCACAATTGGATATTCCAAAGTATGCAATCTTGGAATAGTGAGTAT